TTTTTTATGGTATATGATGAATGCTGCGTTTCATTCAATTGTTTGATCGAATGATGCCTCCGATACCATATTAGAAATATTAGAATGAATTCACAGCATAATTTTCATCTTATTAAATTCATCATCAAAATGATGAGTATAAATATTACAAAGTAAATAATCAAGACAATCAAGGAAGGTAAGTGGAAGATAATCAAATATCTTTGATTGGTAATTTGATTCCAATCAAGGATATTATCCTAGTCATCAATAATATTCCTTTGTTTGACACTATTCATTTGTTTGACATTTCTAACAATTATTTCAAAAGAACCATACTACACTTTGTACCTCAAACACCAAATACGAAAGCTATACAACAACATTTTGATAGTTCACAAAAATTGTTAGTACGTTAACAAAATTTACACTAACATAAAGTGTTAGTGCGTTAACAAAAATTAATATTACACCAACACAAAATGTTGATGTACACATGCAGTGTACAAATGAGGTACAAATCCTTGGGGTACAAATAACTTTATCCTTTTCAAAAATATTAGAGGTACACCAAAAAAAGGATAAAGCTATTTATACTCCAAGTTTTTGTACAACACTTTGTACCCCGCAGGTTTGCACCAACACTTTGTGTTGGTGTAAAACTAAATTTTGCTAATGCACCAACATTTTGTGTCCGTGTAAATTTTTGTTAATGCACGAACACTTGTGTCGGTGTAAATCATCAAAATATTTGTGTATAACTGCGGTGTACAAATGAGGTATACAATTTTTGGTGTAAGTGTAGCATGATTGCCAATAAAAAAGTACCTCAAGTGTACTCTAAAGCATATCCACCACATAATTTAAATAGGAAAATTTACCTAAATACTATTACTCCCTCCGTCCCCCTGTATTTGTCCACATTTGACTTTTGGAACTGTTTATCTAAGCACTTTGACTCATCAAATTCTCTCAATGTGTAAGCCTAAATATAGTCATGTGTGATCTTGTTTGATTTGTCTTAACATATAGATTATTAATATATAGTTTTTATAATTTTTTAATTTACAAATTACAAGATAAATTGGATTAAAAAAGTACATTGGATGGTGTGTAAAAATGAAAGTGGACAAATACAGAGGGACGGAGGGAGTAAGATATAGTGATTTTTCCAACGTAGTACTATATGTTTTTATTTTACAATGTGGTACCAGTGGTTATTGCTTAAGTAAATGTCCACTACTACTGGACATTGTTCAGTAAATAAAATACCACTTTAATAACAAAAAATTACTACCGGGTACCCTCAGACCTCAGTTTTGTAATAGGAACTTACAAGTCCCATCTTTTTAAAAAATATACTTTAGAACACCTTTCATTATCTGAAAACTAACTATGGGGAGACATTCTGCCCGTTCCTCCGTCAAATTCATTTTATTTGTTATCTTTTCATCATTTTCTTTCCAAAAATTGCTATTAGGTACCTCTAATTTTGTAAAAATAACTTTTAGGTCCCATCGTTTTTAAAAATATACTCCGGGCCGGGGTACCCTAAAATATCCACAAAATTACTCTAGGGGATTTTCCTTTTTTTCCTTTTTTTACTATTATTATTAGTATTATTATTATGGTTATTATTACTATTACTATTACTATCACTACTACCATATTATTATTATTATTATTATTTTGAAAGGATTATTATTATTATTATTAATATTATTACTATTTTAGTGCGTTTAGTGGCAATCCAACGCAACTCAATTGGTAAAGCGGCAACGAGTGACAACTGCGGAAGACAATGATAAAGTGAATAATAATAATAATAATACAAGTAATAGCAATAATAATAGTAATAATAATCATAATAATAGTAATATAATAATAATAGTATAATAATAATAGTAATAGTAACGTAATAATAATAATAATGGTAATAATAATAATAGTAATCTAAGAATAATAATACTATAATAATAATAATACTTCAATAATAATAATAATAATAATAATAATAATAATAATAATAATAATAATAATAATAATAATAATAATAATAATACTTCAATAATAATAATAATAAAGGAAAAAGGAGAATTCCTCCATAACAAGTTTTTAGATATTTTAGGGTACCTGAAGTATATTTTTACAAATAATGGGAGCTAGAACAGCAATTTTTGGGAAGAAAATGATGAAAAGATAACGGAAAAAATGAATTTGACGGAGGGATAAACAGAATATCCCCAGAGTTAATTTTCAGATAACTAAAGATACCTCAGAGTATATTTAAAAAAAAAGACGAGACATGTAAATTCTTATTACACAACATAATAACGAGCACCAATTTTCTGGTTTAATAAAGCAATAATGCAACTTCTAACTTGTCTTTTGACTTCGCTCCCAATGCTTTTCATGCCCTAACCCCTTTTTCTTCTTTAACCTTAACCCGCTCCCGCCGTTGCCCGTCTCACACACGAAATCAAAGTCGAAGCCTGAAGAAAGGGAGAAGCCAATGAAGAAATATAAAATCAAATCTAGGGTTCTTACTCAATCGGTTGGATCGAGCCGCCATGGATCTCTCAGGTGGTGTTTGCAACAAAACTGGCTGGAACTCGCTGCCCTAGATTGAACACGAAAATCGAAAATCAAAATAAAAAAATCGCCCGGGATCTCGTCTCCGCCCCTTCGTCGCCCTTTCACTGTCGCCTGGGGAAAGGAGTTACTCACTGAGTCACTGGGCCGCCTAATATGGAGCATACAAATCAAAGGTGAAATGGGTATGCCAGAAAAATGAGATTGAAATGGCGAAAAAGACTAAAATAATAGTTCTATGTTTTTATTTCCAAAATAAGATTTAAAATGAATTTTACATTATCAATCATGACCACCATGTACATTACCTAAAATGCACATGTGCAATGCCACATTACCACATGCAAACTCCTATTTAGGAAACACAAACATAAAATTCCTATTTTGATACTTTTTGAGTGTTTTAGTTCTATTTATGGTTATTTCTTATATGCACCATGTACAGTGTCACATTACCACATTCAAACTCTTATTTAAGGAATAAAAATATAGAACTCCTATTTTGATATTTTCTCTATTTTTAGTTCAATTTAGAATGATTTCTTATTGAGAAGGGCATGGCCGTATGGGTTGGTGATGAAAATTAAAGTTAAAATGTAAATATGTAAAGAAATCCGGAGTACTAGTAAGAAATGATTTGAACGGGTAAATAATGACTGTAAAAATCAAATGAAAGATTAGTACTGTTTAATTTTTTTGGTCAAAATGTGCAGCCACAAATTAAATATACTCCGTAGTTTTAAATAATTAAATGTTACATAGTATTAAAATTTGACATCAAAATAATATTTAAAAATAAATCTTATTTTACTAAATTTAAATTATTACTAAATACTGCACTTTTTTTATTTTCATAATTTGTAGTCAAAGTGGGAATATAATATAAAATCGTTCCTTTTACCGTAGTAATAAGGACAGGAGGAAGTGCAGAGTAGTCAGCATTCCAGTTTCTTGACCATGGTAATCAATATTCAAGTGGCACACAACAAGTAGTTTAAATATTTTAGTGTGAAATATACTCCGTAAGTGTTAGCATTAATTTAACTATTTTAAAATCAAACTCTTATAAGCTCATTGTGTTGATCAAAATCTGATGACAGTATGACACTGATCTGAACACAGAATTTCCAATTTCAATCCGAATCGAGTGGAACCTGTTTGACTGACCAGTTTGCCTGCTCTAGCTAGTTCACACAACGTATCTGGGGGGAACTACAAACTGTCCTAGACTGTATAGAGGTTTACAAGGTTTTATAGAGCCTTTTTTATAAAGGAGCCCTCATGGAGATAACAATGAAACACATTATATGTGAACTAAATATGGTTGCAGTCTTGCAGATGAGCTTGCTAATTTCGCTCTGCATTACCTGAGAATGAAGTAAGTCAATGGGTGTGTTCGGTTGTCCTGCCCTCCCCCCCCCCCCCTTTGTATACAAAAAACAATGTTTGGTAGTTCGTTCTATTTGCATAGTTGTCAAATTACCTACTACGATTTAAAACCTCTCAAAAGATTATCATCCAGATGATGCTGTGTGTGTTGGATCCAATGTTTCTTATTCCATTCGGAAGATTGGTAGTCAATGAAACTGGCAATACAATGTGGTGGAAGTTTGGACCCTTTTTTTAAATTACAATTATAATTTTGAATTTCGGACTTTGATGCGCTCTCTAATTAGATGGCCTGTCTCTAATTTTTTCTGTGCCAAAATTCAGTTTATTGTAGGAGGACCAGGGACAAAAACGAAGATGACTATCACACCCAAGATCTCAATAACCGATGGGAGCCTTGTGGTCCATGGCAAGACCTTGCTTAGGAATGTACATGACAACATTGTGCTGAAGCCAGGATCCGGTGTGGGACTTGTTGCTGGTGCATTCATCGGAGCCTCGGCTTCACATACCAAAAGCTTGCACGTTTTCCCTGTTGGTGTTCTAGAGTGAGTTTATACACTATGCCAAAAATATTCTGGTATATTGTTCAGATGCAAAGTTTAACATGAAAATTGAAGATTCATGGGGATCTTATGCATAAAGTTGTTGCGGTGCTTAAATGGTTTATTGCAAATTCTTGAATACACGAGGAGGGGGTTGAAATATAAAACAAAAGGGGTTTTAAAGAGCACATTACTACTAATTAAGAATAATACACTAGTAAGAAAATAATTAATAATGAAGTGATGGATAGAATGATAGATGTGAGCCAACTCTATATTTTCAGGTGTCATTTTATTTCACTCCATTCATGTTGGTTAAGTTGATCAACATATCAAGATTTTCCCACAGAAAATTCCTGGTTCTCCACAGAGAAGTATCCATAATTAAATTTTGGAAGTACAACTAGAATTACCCTTGACATTTCATATTGTCCTCGGTTAGTACTAATTCGTACCAGTACCATTATGATTTACTACATCTTAGTTCTTAGCACTATTGCCAGACTGAGGAATTTGAGTCAGTATGCTTATGAGTTGTCTCATCTCATGTAATAGGGGCCTCCGGTTTCTGTGTTTGTTCCGTTTCAAGCTATGGTGGATGACGCAGAGGATGGGAACATGTGGAAATGATATTCCTCTCGAGACGCAATTCATGCTTGTGGAGAGCAAAGATGCGAGCGAAGGTGACTGTGATGATTCCCCAACTATCTATACTGTTTTTCTCCCACTCCTTGAAGGCTCGTTCCGTGCTGTTCTTCAAGGAAATGAGAAGAAAGAACTTGAGATCTGCCTTGAGAGTGGTACGCATCCTTGTCTCTATTCTTCACTGGGAATGCACTATGTATCAATATTCAAATGAAGAAACAACACAATTCATCCACACAATTCATTCCTTGAAAGGAAACGAGGTTTATCTTGTGACAACCAAAAAGGGAAAATGAGAAGTTTATTTTGGGACAAAGGGAGTACTAATATTTAAGAAGTCAAAACCAGTTAATATAGTACTAGACAATTAGTTGTTTTCAGCTGACACCCCAATGAGACATGAAACGTGGACAGAAGCTTTCAATTCTAAATTATAAGGCTGTGTGCACTGTGCTATCCCATTTCCATGACTTTATCCTGTTATCATAAACAGATGCTATAGTAAAATTTTAATGAAATAGGTCTCTAATTTGGCCACAAGTGACCTAGTTCAAGCCAAAAATTGCTGTTATATCTGAAACAGGTTATCGGAGCTAAAAAACCATAGAAGAACAATTAAAAAGAAAGGATTTCGTACGAAAAAATTGAACATGATTACCTTTTTGTCTTTGTAGGGGATAAATCTGTAGAAACCGACCAAGGACTTCATCTTGTCTACATGCACGCTGGGACTAATCCATTTGAAGTTATAAATGAAGCCGTTAAGTAAGTCTATTATAATTCATGGGTAATGATTGTCACATGAAGGTTTTACATCTCCATTAGTTATACCCCTTTGTTAGCAAGAATGCAAAATGCACACTATTACTGCTAACAGAAAACTTTAATGGAGCCACATTTCTATGCAACAGAGTTGTTGAGAAGCACATGCAGACTTTCCATCACAGAGAGAGGAAAAAGGTAAGATCTCTACTTTACTCTCCTGCCTAATGTCTGTGATGTGTAATTGTCTATACTGAATCCTACTTGATTATGTGATAAGAATAGCATCCTAAACAAAAGTATCTTTGTTTTCCCTTTAGCTGCCATCTATCCTCGACTGGTTTGGCTGGTGCACATGGGATGCTTTTTACACCGATGTCACAGCAGAGGGTGTTGAACAAGGTCTCAAAAGGTAAATTGTTAAACTATAAAACATTCCTAGTTATTTTGTTCAGCTATTCATCATTTGTTTAATGATGAGTAATATAGCTTGTCCGAGGGAGGCTTCACTCCACGCTTTCTGATAATAGACGATGGCTGGCAACAAATTGGTAGCGAACACAAAGATCCTGACTGTGTTGTTCAAGAAGGAGCGCAGTAAGTCTTTCTCTTTTTCTCCCCTCCTAGCATACATATATTTAAGGAAATGAATCCCATTACAAGATTCTACATTACTATCCTGAAGCAAGAAAGTCAACCATGGAGTTTCAGTTGTTTAATCAAACATTGGGCTGCTCAACAAGTGAATGTATTTTTCTGTAACTTTTGCCTGGTAGGTTTGCCAACAGACTAGTTGGGATAAAAGAGAACACAAAATTCCAAAAGAATGAAACAGACGATGAACAAGAACCAGGGCTTAAGCAAGTTGTGAAGCAAGTAAAGGAAGAGTTTAAAGTGAAGTAAGTTCTCCTAAATCATTGTATGATGTTACTCCAACATAAACTTCACATTTCCTTTAAGTGATTAATTACTAATGATCTGGTGCTGTTCCAGATACGTGTATGTATGGCATGCCATGGCAGGTTATTGGGGTGGAGTGCAACCGGCTGGTCCAGGAATGGAGCACTACGAAACAGCATTTGCGTACCCTGTTCAGTCTCCTGGTGTACTTGGAAACCAACCCGATATCGTGATGGACAGTCTTGCAGTTCATGGGTTGGGCCTTGTGCACCCAAACAAGATCTTCAATTTCTACAATGAACTTCACGCTTATCTGGCCTCATGTGGGATTGATGGAGTCAAAGTTGATGTGCAAAACATCATAGAGACCCTTGGAGCTGGGCATGGTGGAAGAGTTTCTCTCACACGGAGTTTTCTCCATGCCCTTGAAACTTCCATTGCACGCAACTTCCCTGATAATGGCTGCATTGCCTGCATGTCTCATAATACTGATTCCCTCTACAGCGCCAAGCAGACTGCCATAGTTAGAGCTTCCGATGATTACTATCCTCATGACCCGGCTTCTCATACAATCCATATCTCATCTGTCGCCTACAACACACTGTTCTTGGGTGAATTCATGCAACCTGATTGGGATATGTTCCATGTTAGTAAATCTATGACAGTTCATTCCATGTAACCTCCTTGCTATCTTCAATCCCACATACTCCATCCGTCTCAAAATAAAGCTTGTGGTTTCACTTCACGAAGTATTTAAAAAGCGTGGGATTGATATTTATTTAAAAGAGAGAAAAGTGTGCACACGAGTCACTAAACTAAAAGATTGAATCAAATCAGTTCGTTAATCTAAACCAAAGCCTAAAATCCCGTTGGACCCTCATATATATATATATATATATATTGGTGTGATACTCTTAATAGTATAACTGTGTTGCAGAGCCTACACCCAACTGCTGAGTATCATGGTGCAGCTCGATCTATTGGAGGAGCTGCTATTTATGTCAGGTGAATTGTTAAGTTCTCCATGAAGCTTTAATCATCTTCTTATTAAAAGCTTGTCCTATAATATGGTCTTCTTCTGATCTAGTGACAAACCTGGAAACCACAATTTTGAGCTTTTGAAGAAGCTTGTCCTTCCTGACGGATCAGTGCTTCGTGCCCAGTTGCCTGGCCGACCGACCATTGACTGCCTTTTCAATGATCCAGCAAGAGACGGGGCCAGGTACTCCATTTTGTTTTCCTGTTTGTGGTTTCTTATAACTTTTTCTGCTAGTTTGAAAGAGATATATATCAAGTGCACGTTTACCTTCTTGAACAGCTTGCTTAAAATCTGGAACCTGAACAAGTGCACTGGCGTGGTTGGTGTGTTCAACTGTCAGGGTGCTGGTTGGTGCCGAGTTGCGAAGAAGACACGTGTCCATGACACCTCACCTGCCACCCTCTCTACATTTGTTCGGGCTACGGACATTAATTCCATAAGTCAGATCGCCAGTCCAGATTGGAATGGGGATACAATTGTATACACCTTTAGATCAGGTATTTGTCGATATATATCAGATTTCTAAAATGTGAATGTTTGTTGAACTTACTTAAAAATTTGAATTCTAAAACCTTGAATTTCAGGGGAAATAATTCGCTTGCCGAAAGGTGCTTCATTGCCTGTGACACTCGAGGTTCTCCAGTATGAGCTCTTCCATATCAGTCCCGTGAAGGTCTGCCATGTTATTTTCTTTTTGCTAGCTTATACACAATCTTTCGTTGAAACTCATTCTGTCTTTTATTGATCTGTCATTCTGTTCTTTCAGGACATCACGACAAACATCTCGTTTGCACCCATTGGTTTGCTAGAAATGTTCAACAGTGGTGGTGCCTTGGAGAAGTATGAAGTCAATCTCGTCTCTAACAAACCACCAGATCAGTTCAACCAAGAAGAGGGGCCCCGACCCCCGACAGCAACTGTCTCTCTTACTGTTAGAGGATGCGGGCGATTCGGTATTTACACTTCTCAGTGCCCACTGAAATGCACATTGGATGGTACCAATATTGACTTCAACTATGGCAATGAGAATGGATTGGTGACCATAACCATCCCAGTTCCTACCCAGGAAATGTATGGATGGCATGTTGAAGTCCTAGTCTAGGTGGGGAGTGGCTGTTTCTTAATAGTTCTAGGAACTAAAGCAAAAGGTATTAATTCCCACGATGAGTATGAGAAATAATGGTATGTAGTTGTATCAAGTTTGTTTGTTTTTTTTGTGTGTGTGTGTGTGTGCACTAATAAAAGCAATCAAAATTATTCGATCTCTCGTCCACATATTTGTTAGCCCGAGTTAATAATATCAATTCTAAGCCCTAATCTCTTTGGTTATATGATATGAAAGAAGATTAATCTATCCCGGTAATGGGTTATGAATATAAAATGAATAAAAGGAAATATGAGTCGGGAATAAAGTACGAAGTCAAAGCATGAAGAACAAAGTCGAATATCAAAAGCTAGATCCTTTCTCCAGCGAAGGAGGAATATTTATAGTCTAAGGTTACAGTCGTGATCCTCTTTTCAATTAAGGAGCTAATTCTAGATTGCTTACCCACCTACCGTGTGGGCCTCTGGGGTGCCCCTCACTACTCTAACCTAATTGGAGTATAGTTCCGTATTCTTAACGACATGTTGGAACTTGGTGGACTCAAAAATGTTGGAACTTTGTGGACTCAATGGCAAAGGACATTAATATACACTTGGGTCAGTTTAGATATATTAATCACAAGTCCTAGTTTTTTGTTTAGCCTTAATTATAAAAGACACTACAAGAATTTTCAAATGAAATGGAAGAATTTAAATTTCAAAATTTACAAAGGAGACAAATATGTGGGTGGGGGTGGCTTCACGTGTTCCCAAGTGTGCCCAGAGTTAGCTTTATGTCTCTATGCACTTGTTGCTTTCCGTTGGTTACGCAATCCCAATAAGGATATGATCATTGCATACATCTTCCATCACCATCCCTTCTGTTTTCGAGTATTTTACCACCCTCGCACTTTATCGCCTTTCATTTTAGCTTGAATCCAAGCCCTAATTTTTCAATTCATTACCCAAGGTCTTGAGGGTGTGAAGGTATTTGATCCAATATCATGAGGAATAAGAATTAAGAATATCATATGTCACAATATTACGTGTATTTGTTTAATTTTGGCCCATTCCTCTAACGAGAAATGGCTATTTATACTTGGGCTATTTATTAAGACTCCATCCCTTCTATAAATAGAGGGGGAGGGGGGGGGGGTGTGGAGCCATAATAGGAATCTGAGATATGTGAATCTCGAAGGATCCGATCCTATTTTTGTGCCCCACCTCATTTGTTTTCTATTCCACTACAATCTCTTAATTCTAGACCCTTCTTACGACGTTAGACCTTGACTTATTAATTGAGCCGAAGACATAACCCTCTTGATTAAATAAGAGACCATTCCTTTCTTCCAAATTGGGCAGCCGGGCGTGTTGATCAAAACGCCTCAGACTCGATTTTCATCATAAGCCCCGTAGTTTCTTGCATGACATGTTTCAAAAAATTGTTCGAGTTTAAACACTCATGGCTTGTTAGCGTTTTAACATTTGCTGATGTGGAATGGTTAGTAGAAATGCCCATTGTCACCCTTAGTCGTCGTTCTTCACTATTCTATTTTGTCCTCTTAGAACCAGAATATCCTTGCTGTGTCAGTCCCCTTCGTTTTGCCCTTCAATCTTCTTCATCCTTCCTACTCAATCGAAGCTTGGAACCTTAATAATGACGAAAATGGCCCCAAAACTAGAGTCTAGACACACCACCATCTGAAGGCACGAACTTGTCAAAATGCAACAAATCTTGGGAAAGAGTGTGGAGGTTCGATATCTAGAGAACTTTTTTCTAGTCAACAACCATAAGCCCTCCTAGAAACTACACACACCTCTAGAGGGGGTGAAGAGATTTTTTGCCCACTTTGGTCAATTTTTTTGAACTTGATCTTTTAAGCACTAGCTCTCGCGGTAATAATCACAAAATCAAACGCGCATCAAACAAATAATATGATATAAAGCAATAAAGAACACCACGATCTACACTGGTTCGTCCCAATGCCTACATCTAGTCCCCGAGCAACACTATTTGAGCCTTCACTAACCACCCCACGAAATTTAGCAATGTCTGTGTTAAATATATTCTATATTTAATGTAAATATATTGTTTTCTATTATTGTCTCCTACCTTGTATAGGATTAGGAATATATTGTTTCCTATTATTGACTCCTACCTTGTATAGGATTAGGAACCCTTGTGTATATATAGACATGTACTCCCACATATTCAATCAATGAAATTAACCTTTCTACATGGTATCGGAGCCTAAAAATCAAAAACCCTAAACCCCCTCTCTCTCTCGTTCGGCCTTCTCTCTCGCCGTCAGCGCCGACTCTCCCTACGGCAGCTCTCCTCACCGGCGACACCCTCTCCTCCTCGGCGGTCCTCTTCTTCCCCTCACCATGGCCGAAAACAGCGAGATCACTTCCCAAAATAACTCCTCCAAACCTCCTCATCTTGCTTTCACAACAATCTCAAACGTGAAACTCCATGTCCCCGTTCAACTCAGTCTCTCCCAACCTAATTACAAAAAGTGGAGCCGACACTTCCTTCTTCTAGTTCGGCGATTCAACCTCAAGGGCTACATCGATGGCTCCGTCGTCCCCCTCTCTGATGACGACGACGAATGGTTCCAACTCGACGCTCTTCTCCAGGGTTGGATCCTCTCCACCATCACCGATGAGGTCTCAGATCTGGTCATCTCCTCTGTCTCTACTGCCTCTGCTCTCTGGAAAGTCATCAACGACTTGTTCCACGACAACAAACATGCTCGAGCTATGCAATTGGAACATGAATTTCGCACGACAGTCAAGGGCAACTCCACTATGGCAGCCTATTGCCAACAACTGCAGAATCTTGCCGACTGGCTGGATGATGTTGATGCACCAGTCTCCCAACACCAACTCGTCCTTCAAATGCTTCGTGGTCTCCCTGCCGATCTCCAGGGACAAACATCATTC